GGCAATTTGTGGGGAATTCCCCAAATTGTGGGGAGTTTCAACTAGATTGGGGATTTTGTGGGGATTGGCGCTATGTGAGGAAAATGCCCCACATTTTCCTCACATAGCGCCAATCCTAACATTTTATCATTTTGTTTAATCTATCAATTGCTGATGCATCGCTTGTTTGATCGTTACTGTTAGAAACACTGTGATGGACTATATCGACGTGTTTTTCAACATCGCACATCCCTCGTATTATTAACAAGCAGCTTAAATAGAATTATTATTAGAGCACTTGGTTCTGAATTGTATCTTGGTTGTGAAATTACCAGTCCGTGCGTGTTGAGTTCGCAATTCTTTCTCCCGCTTAGACCGATCCCCGGTAAGAAGCAAAACGAAATCAGATATTGATGAGTTGGTACTTCCACACCACAATTTACCACTCGTCAACTTTAAATATTAAATATAGGTCGAAACTCATTGATTATTTCTAACGTTAACATAGTGTCACCAAATGCACAACAAATAATCAATTTACTTAATTTTGTAAGGCAAAGAAAAATGATTTTTTGGTCAGACTGATTACAGATTAATGTTGAATCTAATTAATATTATAACTGCCTCCGTGGCCGAACGGTTACTATGCCGGACTGCCATGCAGAGGTCCCAGGTTCGATTCCCGGGTCGGGAGAAATATTTGTATACATGCCCTACATTTATTTCTCTCGTGAGTTTGGGTGTAATTTGTGGTTGTCTACGTGTGTGTCCATAGCACCCGCGACACAGGGTTTACGTTGAGTGTGTACGTTATTATTATTATTATTAAAATAAATAAACGATTTAAGGTCATCCAATTTTATAATTAATTTACTTTTTACATTCTGTTTACATTCACAGCAAACGTAATAGATTATTACATTCTGAGTTTCTTAATTCTTTATTATATTTTTAAGCGATGTATTTCTAATAAATAATGAAAATTCGAGATGTGTGAAATTTGTGGGGACATGAATTTTGCTCTCCCCAAATTTGAGGATTTTAACCGTGATTTTTGGAGATTTTGAACAATTGGCATTGGCAACGCTGATTGTATCGAATGATGTGATGTAATGACTTAATATCCAAGGTTCACCATTTCCACTAGATCTTTTAATATTCTTTACTTTATTCATTTTGCATGAACTCTTACAACGTCCAATAGAGTAAAAACCCTAATTGTAGTATTTTTTTAAATACAATCTACTGAAGACGCGCTATAACGTGTTTGTCAATAAGTACAAACACTACAGAATGTCTATAAATTAAATATATCTAGAATAAACTTAAGAACACTAGTTTTTAGAGTATTAATAGGCTTTACTGGATGTGTATAGAACAATTTTACTAAAAATAATCAGTTGTTCTACAGATGAACTTAAAATAATGACTGTAAGAGTAAATCTTAAGAGAGATTACACTTATTTAAGTTGTTTGGTATTAAGAAGGTGTTAAAATTTTGACTTGAGTGAAATAAGTCTATAAGAATAATTTCTTTTTTCCAAAACCATATATAGATAACTATTATCTAAATCAATATCATATTAAGACTGTTTATAGCTATAACAGTTTTAAGTCGTATAAAGTGTGCTCCTTGAGACACTTACCTTATTTTACATTCCTTTATTGTTATACTCGCACAAATTTATTAGTTCAGCTACTTACAAATCTACAGAAACACAAACTTTACATATTATTTTTATTATATATATATATATATATATATATATATATATATATATATATATATATACACACACACTACCTACTCCATTTTTATACACATATTTAATTACCAACATGCATTTCACAACAATTATTTTTATACAAAACTAAACATGCAAAATGGAAACAGACTCGGACAAACATACCTATACACCAGAATGGACTTAATATTATAATATCTCACAATAACTAGGACGGCCTATAATTATTTCATTGTCACCTATAAATTGCTCATTACGAAAATTTATTTCATTGTTAATTATAAACAATTTAAAACGAAAATTTGAGTTAGGATTGTTAAATGTATATAAAAATGCTCATTAGGTACACGCCATGACGAATTTATAGTTGCAATGGATCGACACGACGTCGATATTATGGCTATTAATGAGACGTGGTTGAGAGAGCTCGCGCGGCGGTGGGGTCGGTTTTTACATACGACGAGGTATCGTTATTCGTGTACTACCTCATCCGCCGGCTACACTATTTGAGCAAATTTAGCTATGTGTAAACGTGAACGGGAACGTTTATCACCTGTGCACTAGACATTGTGAAAGCAAAACCGCCACCAATGAAAATAGTCCATAGAAATCTGTTAAACATTAACCATGAACAGTTTTATATTATGTGAAGTTATTATGTTATATTTAAAAATCTAACTTTTTAATTTTTTGTTGTGGCATGTGGCAACATTAGATAATGAAAGTTTCACAATCTTTTTTTTTCATTATTAGTAATGTTTTTCTTATTAGCTATAAAGCAACCAAAAAATATCAAAACTGCCTTAGAAATAGTATATTATTCATGTTGTCGTACCATATTGGGGCCTTTAAACTTTAAATAATAAGTGAGTATCGTTAGTAGACAATACAATAATAATCATATTGAATACCTTGCACAAAGTTAGGTAAGTCTTTAATGGAAACTAAAATGTGGTCGATTCGTTGGACAATAAGTAAAAATACATTGGTACAATAAAATCTTAAATACTAGAAACTTTGGACTCTTGTCACTCAAATTTGATTTAAGAAGGTCAAATACCATGGAGCAATCCTTAGACTATGGAAACTAAAGGACATGTTATGTTGAAAGTCAATGGTTGACATATAAAGGTGTCGGCACGAGTTGTTTTCCAACTTTAAAATGAAATAAAACATTTGCATGTGACTCAAATTGAGATAACATGCGTTCATTTGACGGTCAACGATTTTGGCTTTTTTAAAAATTGATGCACATAGACTAGTCATCAGTTGTTGATGCCGAATTCGAAATTCGAAATTCAAAGACAACAAAAATGGCGAACAAACATTTTTCAACTGATTTGGTTTTACGGTTTTGTTTAATAATCAAAACAATTCACAAAATGTGGACGACGCCCCAAAAAGTGTTTGCCGTTAAGACCTTTATCAAAAGTGAGTCCGTGACCACCACCCAGCGGAAATTTCGGAGAGAGTTTGGAGATGAAAGGGGTAGAGGGGAAGCTCCAACAGCACCAACAATTCGTCGTTGGGTAAAAGGGTTCAATGAAAATGGGACAGTCAAAGGAAAGAAGAAAAAGACTAGAGCAAAACCAGTAAGGACGCCCGAAAACATTCTTCGAGTTCAGAACGCCGTTGTCCAAAGCCTTCAAAGGTCAGCAGTTAGGCATTCTTTAACCCCTTGGGTTATGAACTTAGTGAACTTTACGGACAATTCTCCACGAGGATTTAAAATTTCATCCTTATAAGCTTCAAGTCGTCCAAGCAATTACTGAGCGGGATAAAATTCAGAGGGAAGCATTTTGTGAGTTAATGCAGCAGCAAATTATTGAGAATCCTGAATTACTGGATAATTTGTTTATGTCGGATGAAGCCCATTTTTGCCTTTCCGGTTACGTGAACAAGCAAAACTTCAGGTACTGGAGCGACACCAACCCGCACGAATTACACCAACACCACTTGCATCCCCAAAAGGTAACAGTTTGGTGCGCAATCGGAGTGAAAGGTGTCATAGGCCCTTAATTTTTCGAAAACGAGCATGGCAACACGGTTACCGTCAATTCGGAAAATTATTCCACTATGGTGACCAACTTCTTTCTTCCGGAATTGGCCAGACGTCAGCTCCAGAACATCTGGTTTCGACAAGACGGGCAACCCCGCACACAGCCCGAAAAAGTATGGCTGTTCTCAAGGAAGCATTCCCAGGGCGCCTGATTTCCAGGTTCGGGGACATCCACTGGCCCGCAAGGTCACCCGACCTGTCTGTCCCCGACTTTTTCTTGTGGGGATATTTGAAGGAAAGGATCTTTCGTCACCAACTTAACTCTCTGGCCGAATTAAAACAGAAGATTCGTGATGAAATTCAAAACATTTCAAATGAAATGTTAGAAAAAGTGAAAGAAAATTTCATCAAAAGGCTCCTACTTTGCAGAGATGAAAATGGGGGACATCTTGCAGATATTGTTTTAAAAAAATAATTTTAAAAAAGCCAAACTTGTGATCTCAATATTGTTAAGAAAGATTAAAATTTTATCAATAAATAAACTTGTTATTTCATTTTAAACTTGGAAAACAACTCGTGCCGAACCTTTTATGAATCAGACGGTATATGATGCATTTCGATATTGAAAACAAAAGCATGTTATTGTCTTTGTTTAACTCTTGCGTGCCGTCTTAAGCCAAAAGAGATAGCATTACACTGGTCTGTGTCAAACACAGGACTCGAAAATACGTTACGTTACATTTTGCAGTACATGAGGTACATGATACGGTTGTCAAAGGAAAGTACATCAAATGTCGAAACAAACGTTTTTCCAAGTGTTTTATTGAATTATTCGCATGTATTACAATAAAATGGACAAAAATATTGACAGTGAGAACAATTATGTATTAATAAAAATTCGTCGCTGCAGCTTTACGGGATATGGCATTTGAAAAAGAAGATCGACCGAATATAACATTGTACAGTTATTTTTCTGTCTATAAATCACACAAAAGCCCAAATATCTCATGTATTTAGACATATTTAACTAGTTTATTCAAAAATCTTGCCAAATTTTGCTTTGGTTGTATTTTCATTTATTTCCAAAATTAAATGGAAGTATTAAAGATTCACTTAAATAAGTCACTGATATTAATTCTATACCAATGCATAAATACAAAAAACTTACACTATTTGGAATTTCTTTAAAAATTTCTCTATGAAAATATGAATCTTGAGGTTGGAAATGTATAAGATTTACGTTGGTTATGCCAACCAATCTGTTTCTTTCATTAAAGTTGACAGTTGTGACCGCGTACATGGATTTGTCGCTGGTATACGGCAGTAGCGAAGACCAAGCAGCTCCGATCAGAGCTGGCAGTGGGGGCCGCCTATTGACGGACCTGCGAAATGATCAGGAGTGGCCTCCTCAGCACCCCAACATCACGCTCGCGTGCCAATTGGCACAAACTCCGAACGAACGTTGCTATCTGGTTGGTAAGTAAAGTTTTAACTAGTATGGTAATTGGATAAATTTATAATGAAACAAAGAATAGATAGTCAATAGTCAAACAGACGTGGTTAGCTACTTATTATTGTAACCTTAATTATTATAGATTGCATATTTATTCTGGTTCGTGTCCCACACAAATCACTCTTCCATTCAACAACATTTGAATAAAATTCCCTTTCCAATTCGTAGATCGAGTTGATCTTAAATATCCTTGAATTTAAAATAGCATTGTATTAGGACTTTGCTTTTTGCTCTTGGAGCGGACAGTACTCCTACACGATCCTGGAGATATACATATTTATGATTATTTACTCTCATCGAGAATCCACGTGCTACACGTACTTACACTCGCAGGAATAATGTATTACTTAATATGTAAGTATGTAAATTAAGAATAACATTATAGTACGAGCAAACAGTTGCGAAGTTTTGGAATGATAATAAAGTCGTTTTTGTTCTAGAATAGGAAAAGGCATTTCTAAGAATAAACGATGATAAAATGTCACCGGATAAATAAAATACTTGCTAGCAAAAGTCATATGTGTGAAGACCTTTTTCAGTTCTTATTTGCGTTGACTGTAACTTTGCCGAGACTTTATTAAGAAGTGATTTCTATTACAATTTGAATTTCCTTAAGTATCATCTAAGTTATCGTAGTCGAGTTATAAGGTTTTCAAAACCTAAGAGTGTTTTATGATGACCATGTTAATTCTTAGGTGACTTCCGAGCAAACCAGAACCCTCAGCTGACAGTGCTTCATATAGTGCTAGTGCGCGAGCATAACCGCATCGCAGACTATCTAGCAGAGCTAAATCCGCACTGGTCTGATGAGAAGATTTTCCAAGAGGCCCGCCGCATCCATATCGCCGAAATTCAACATATCAACTATTATGAACATTTACCCATTTTCCTTGGTAAGTAAAATTTTTTGTAGCAGTAGACTTCCTTGTGAAGAAAGTACCTTATCCAGGAAAGTACTGCCACCTCACTTATTTTTGCCGCCAAGTCATAATGTGAGCGATACTGTGTTCCGGTTTTGAAGGGTAAGTAAGGGTGCTGATGGAATTACAGGCACATGGGACTTGTCAATTATTATGTCTCAGAGTGACGGGCGTAGTGGCAATGCCTCTCAGATCTTTACGATTTAAAGCTCTGACTCTGAGTGGCACTGTAACAGGTGTGTCGCTTACCACCAGCCGCGAGACTTGTTCGTTCTGTCACTTGGTACCGTAAATAAATGTTTAATGGTAGGATTATTTGTACTATGTACAGGAACTAAATACTTATTATTCTCTGTGGTTTAATTTTTGGTATTAGCTATTCCAGCTACGATTTCGGCCTCATTGCTACTCGTTTTATTTAATAAAATACCAGAAAATATATGACGTATGCAAATGCATTTTGTAGTCACGATGAGCAAATATTATAAGTTTTACCTTTAGCAGATATTATAGGTAAAACTTATAATGTCTACTCTTGCTGTAGACCTACACTTATTTATACGTTAATATTTTCAGTTTGCCCGTTTATTGTCACTAAATTTATGTGTTACGTAAAAGCAAAGCTCTACTTCATTCAAATTTTGCTATCCCCAATCCAGTGTAAATTAATTAATTTTGAAATTTTCTAATTTGAACAATTAAAGATATGAATGATAGACTGTCTCTTTAAATATTGGTCAAGCTGCTCACTTTATAATTAATATTTTAATTTTATTCCAAATTCGCAAATTGCAACGGCACAATTGTTTATTGTGTTTTTAATACGTTATTGGTGTTTTGATATTTTTTATTAATAATTTTTATTACCTACATATACAAGAATCACAACAGGAAAGACAAATAGGAATATCTGAATGCCCATATTTTTTCGCGCAGACTTGAGTGAACATGTAATATATACACCCAAGTCTGTGCTAAACAATGTGAATGACATGTGTGTATTTTATTACGTGTTTAAGTCTGCCGATCCTAGATTTATATATACATTTTTGAATATAAATCGGGAGTCGCCAGACTTAAATAAACAAAGTTTGTTGTTCCGCGTTGCTTATAATAAATAATATTATTATTTTAGACAGCATCACATACTTGTGTTATGGAAATTGGAAACAACGACGATACCACAAATACACAAACCCGAGACAATGTAGACAAGTTAGTTTTCCATATTGACCTGGCCGGGGATCGAACTCGGCACCTCAGTGACAACATGAAAGCAGTGTGCAAGACACGCGACTACAGAGGTCGCTTAATATATGGAAAATGAGAAGAAAATGATGTAGTTGAAAAAGACGCGGAGTAGAATATAAGTTAAAACAAATTAATATGACTAATGTAGGTACTTTAGTCTGCCGACTCTAGATACAAAAGTTCTGTATACACATGACATAGTCTGTTACCCACCACTGCCAATAGTTTTTTTCACCAGTGATTACATTCGTCTGTTCAATGTTATGGAATATTTCTTTTAGCCTGTGGAACTAAAGCAGAAGTTATAACTGGATACATATACCATCAAAATTATCACGTTCACACTACACAGCTTTGGAAAATGCGTTTTCGCACTTTGAGTGATTTTTTTGTTTGAGTAATGTTTTAGCCGCTCACGAGATGCGCTCCTCCTACCGTAAAATGGCGGCTATTTGGTTTCGCAAAATAGAAACGGATTCAGTTTAAATACAAATTTTTATAAATAAAAATTATTATTCTGCATTGCTAAATAAATACCCTCCGTACTACCAACAAAAACGTCTCAAATATAATGCAGTAATACACCGCCAATCCTGCACTTAAAAAGCACTAATGAAATTTTTGGTGTACTTGGATAAATATGACAATATTCCGTTTGAGTGGTTCTTCTAACGTTTACTATGAAATTACTCCTTAAAGTATAGTTTATAAACATTTATATTCAGGGTAAACTTAAAAAACGCTACTTACGGTATGTTTTCAATAAATAAACACCGAAAGCACCAGCCCAAACAATAACACACACGATTGTCGTGACGTATTTTTGAAGTTGTTTATTTTTTTAAATGACAGACCCAGGCATTAAAAACTTTATGGTTTGCTAGAGTAGTTACCGAAATAGCAATTAATATTAGTTCTTTTACCTGTTATAACTTCGATATCCGATAAATCGGTATAAAATCATCACCGGCACCTCTAGGTGTGGTATGCATCTACGGCTGCATGTATCGCGTGAGCGGCTAAGAGGGAATTCATATCATGCTCATGACAATTTGCGTTGATTCGCATCGCGGGGCTGCATTAAAGCGAGCAATGCAACATAAACTTTATCTGCAACAAAATAAGGCAACATTTCATTAAACAAACATATGAAAACAAAGCTGCATCAAGCGGCGGCGGGCTGCAGAGAGGTGTGGCGGGCGCACTTTATAAAATCCAATATACTATAGAACATATTCTTTATTTAATAAAGTATACATTTCTTCAAACAACAAAAAATAAAAGAATAAAACCGCGCGGCGTCGTCGCTGTCCTACTCCGCCCACTTGTCTCGCCTCTGATAATACAAAGTGTAACTTAGCTTCTCAACAATAAGGTATACTTATTTGAAAGGCAGATTGCGTGGTAGATGCAATGTAGTATATAATATTATATATATAATATACTAAACAAAGTCGATATTTCTTTGAAAGCCAAGCAAAATCTCTTTTGATAGAAGCAATATATACTTTATTTAGTAGACAGTATGTTCTATATTATAATGCATAGAAGCTCGACCTCTTGCTTTCTTCTACTTTGTGGATGAGTGATCGTGTTTAAGCAATATGTAGACTATACATGCAAATAATATTGCGTGTATGAGAAGGTCCTGGGTTTCATTACCGGTAGAACCAATTCTGGAAATGTACTTTTCTAACAAGGTTTTGGCCTAAGTGCTCTGGGTAGTGCCGCGGAGTGAATGCCGTAGCTCTTGGTTCCAGGTTCGATTCCCTGTAGAACCAATTTTAAAAATGAACTTTTCTAAAGTGGTTGCGGCCTAGGTGTTCTGAGTAGTGCCGCGGAGTGAATTCCGTAGCCTTTGGTCCGGGGTTCGATTCTCGGTAGAACCAATTTGGGAAATGAACTTTTCTAAAGTGGTTTTGGCCTAGGTGTTCTGGATAAACTTGATGAACTAAGTAATGAACCAAAGGGGATGAACTTATACTAGGGGGTCTACCATAACCCAAGTAATGTATTATTGCAAAAGTGATTGAAAGAACGAATGATTTCCCAATATTGTCTATTCCTTACTAAAAATAGGAAAGTGGTAACGCTGTCAAAGACAAAGTCAAAGTCAAAGATTATTTATTCCATAGGTAAAATAAATTTAC